CAGGGCCAGCAGAATGTGGTAGATGTGCTGCTCCAGGCAGGTGCTGATATAGAAGTTGCAGCAAAGGATTTTGGGTGTGCTGGTTGTAGAGCACTGCATTTGGCAGCTGGCTCTGGCCACCTGAATGTGGTAGATATGCTCTTCCAGGCAGGTGCTGACAAGCATGCAGCGACTAAACGTGGTTATACTGCACTGCATTGGGCAAGTCTATGTGGTCGGCAGACTGTGGTAGATGTGCTGCTCCAGGCAGGTGCTGACAAGGATGCAGCCATCAAAACGGGTAAAACAGCACTGCATTTGGCAGCTCAATGTGGCCAGCAGAATGTGGTAGATGTGCTGCTCCAGGCAGGTGTTGACATGGAGGCAGCAACAAAAGAGGGTTATACAGCATTGCATTTGGCAAGTGAGCGTGGCTGGCAGAATGTGGTAGATGTGCTGCTCCAGGCAGGTGCGGACAAGGATGCAGCGACAGAAGAGGGTTACACAGCATTGCATTTGGCAAGTAAGTATCGCCAGCAGAATGTGGTAGATGTGCTGCTCCAGGCAGGTGCTGACCAGGATGCAGTGCCAAGAGATTTCAATTTGGCAAGTAGACCATCTGCTCCACATTCCAATAGTATTTTTGAAATGGTCACAGCAATGTCCGCAAGGGGCTATATGGCTTGGCAGCATGCCATATAGTAGCTGGCTTTGGCCAGCAGAATCTGATAGTTTTGCTGGTGTTTTTGATATGGACAAGGAGGTGTTTCGTGTAACAAATGAGTGTTGCAGCGACCACATGAAAGCCAACACCTAGAACTAAAGTAGGTGACACCTCCAATTGGACTCATTTGCCTGTGCTTCGACAGGGTGCCTACCACTGAGCAGGCAGAATTCATCACATGTTGTTTGGTGCCCAACGTCATGTAGTCCCCGTTTGATCTCGGTTGTGTTGAAGTTTCTGGTTTGCATGTTCCCAAGCAGCTCTTCATTGGTTTAACATCAGCAGCACACAAGGTGCGCGCAAACCAGATGCGTATGCTGTTGAAGGTCACGGGCTGTTGGGATTTGGAAACAGAACTGATCCTGAATAGCATTTTCTGTAGCGGATTTGGGCTGTCTATAGGATGATGCAACAGATTCTTTCTGCCAACAAGCCCGGAAAGCGCCCGGAAAGCCGTGAACCTTCTAGAACCATTGATTAGACATGATTAGACCCTGAACATGAACTCCCAAGATGATTTTCTGCTCTGTCCGTGTTTGAAACAGGGCTGGGCTTGCATTCTTTGTGTAAACGGAACGACTGACGTACGATTGATGTTAAATTGCGTTGTGATGCTTCCAACTCTTTTTTCACACGACACCCACAGTACCCTCCCCCACCACTGAGGCGGTCTTAGTGGTGCCTCGTTGGGTCCATATGGCAGTGGGTCAAAACTGGGTTTGTTTGGTTGACCTACCAGGGTGAAACGGGCTCCAGGTTTTGGCTCACAGCCATATCAGTACAGATTTGGGGAGTCCTCAGCAGGCTCAAGGCCAAGGCCTTCGTTCCGAGTCTTCGCAGGACCAAGGCCTTCGGCTGATGAGGTGGCACGTGCGGATGCTTCTTTCAGGAGAGATGTGCAAACAAAACACACGTTTCTTTTTGGAAGGATTGGAGTGACAGGGGGGGTTGGTATCGTGGAAAATAAGGGTGCCGAATGAATTGGAGGATGACAAGGATCACCAGTTTCAACCAAAGCATTTCATTTTTGTCAGACCTTCGGCACCAAGGATCACTTTTGCCTGGAGGGTGTGGAACTGGGAGCAAGTTTCGTTAGCATTCCACATTGAAGGTTTAGCAGATCACCTGCAGTGGTATCCTGGAAATCCTGTTGTGGAAGGGTTTGGCACAACATTTATGATTTGCAATCGCTTGATGCCAACTAAACTGCAGCATTGGCTTAGCCACATCACCCGATGACAGTGGCTTGTTGATTTCATGAAGTTATTTTCTTCTAGAATCTTTCGCAACTAGTTTCCACTGCCTTGTGGAGGTCCATGTTGGTTTTGAAGATATGATATGTGTGGACACATACCAAACGCCCTCAAGTGGATCATGGCAGGTGAACATCCCTGTTGCAGGGCTCCGCTGTGAAAGTATCTACTCCAACCCAAACCATGGGATTTCGCCGGCAAATCGCCGAAAGGTCGAGTCCTAGGACTCTTTGATCGATGCAACTGAGTCCATTCTGTCCATTTTCTCAATCAGAACTGAATTCCATCCAGCCATCCAAAAACCGAGTCCTTGCAGATCCAGAACTGCTACTGTCTCCTCAGTCCACTCTCTAAGTCCCAGTGCCGCGCAGGATCATTGCTCAGCTCTTGACCGCTCTGGTGGCCAATGAGCACGGCCTCTCCGTCGCTGGGCTTGGACCGTTTGTTCCGAAACGCGTCGTGGGTTTGGGTCGGGAGAGCTTGAGATGTTTGATGAAACAATATGAAACATGGGCAGAAGATAGACTAAAGAGGAACTCGTGAAGGATGAAGGGGCGGATTTCCCCATTCTTAGATGTATCACTTATCAATGTATTTATGAATTTATGTACAGTTGCATGCGGATACTGACCAAGTCACTCTGTATCAGAATGAATCACAGGTCCACCGAATTTACGTGGCCAGTGTGGCTCACCTGGCCCTAAGTCTCACCTGGTGGGATTACGCAAGCATTGACACGCCACCAGAGTTGTGGGGTGTGAACCTCCGGAGTTATCTAATACAAAATATAGTCCGTTGATTGGCACCTAAGGATCCCTAAGACATACCCACCCACCCACGCGCACAGGTTTTTTAAACACCTCTTTTCTCCCTTGAATGGTACTTGCCTGCCTTCATTTGGGCATTTGATTTCTGAGGCCATGAGTGCTTTGAACCTGGAGACGCCCTTGGTGGCACTCTTGGAGTCTGGGGCACACAGATCCTACAGGTAGACTTGCTATCCCAGAGGAGCATTGGATGTGAACTCTCCGGATTTTGGCCGACCAGTTTGAGGGTTTTTTGGAACTTAGAACTGGGGATGGTGACATCAGGTGCCACGGGTCGTAAGTCGTAAGCCTTAGGTTCTTGCTTTAAGTGCAGTGTTTGGACCTCATGAGAGGCACCTCAGCCCCTCCTCCGCCTCAATGGATCACTCAGGAGCTCGTTCGCGCTCGTCGGGAGAGTCACCGAAAAGCCTTCGGTGTCCAAATGTGCGACGGTCAGGGTCCTTTTGGAGCGCTTGGTCGGTGGGGTTCATTGGGGATGTATAAGCTAGAGTATGCTAGAGTTTGGGCACCCTGGAAGCCTGGAAGTAGTATTTGAAGTATACATACTTGAAGGAAGGGATTTGAAGTAGGATGAAGAGCACCCTGGAAGTAGTATTTCACTCTTATATTTGAAGTCATGATGAAGTGGCACCCTGGAAGTGATGATGAAGTGAGTTGACCCACTGAACGCCCTGCACACCAGTCTTTGGGGTTCATGGAATGTCGATGGGTCATCAACGTTTGGAGTGAATTCAAAGTCGAAAACAGGACGGTAGGTCATGGCACGACTGCGTGTCCATGTCACGTGACCCCTCATGTAGGCAACTATATGCCTGGAGTCCTATATATGGAGTAACTCTATTCCAGTCCCATGTAGTTCCATAGATGGAGTTCCATAAAATGGACTGTAACTAATTCCAGTCCCATGGAGTGTTTGGGGTCGGTCCATGCCACCCTGGAACCCATGGCGACGCTCCTCCAGACCCTCGTGACGAGACCACGTCCCTGCACACCTTCGTCCGAATCGTGTGACGAGAACACCGAATCCTTCCTTTGCTCTTGGAGCCGGTGAGTGTTGTAGTATTTATGTGTTGATCGGTTTATTTACTGATATTTACTGTATATGTAATTAAATCGATCTACATGCGAAATACCCACTATAGAGACAGGGCAACATGAAGTGACAAGAAACGTGGCACAAGAACGTGACACGGAAGAGCGTACATATACAACTGACACGCGTGCTGACAATGGTCTCAATGCTCGCGTAGTCAACTATTTCAAGGAGCGGCAAATGAAACACTGCGAACACTGGAGAATCTAAGATGATCTAAGATGTCATCGAAGTTTATGCATCAGACATTGCGTTGTTTTACAACACACATGGTTCGAATGCCGGAGGGACTCCACGTGGTTCGTATGTCGTGTGAATGACATCATTGGGACCCGGATGATCTTGAGAAAGTGGTAGCATCCGATAAGAGACCTCAGTGTACTGAAACCGAGTTGATACTGAGAGCCGGCCTACCAGCCTAACCTTGGTTGGGTTTGGTGCTTCGGTTTGGAAGGGTATTTTTGAGTTTTTTGGATCTAAAGTCTTATATTTAGGCATATACAAGGCATATATACAATATTCATAGGTAAACGTCATGTAAAAGTCATGTCTTATAGGTAAAACGGCTTCGTTCGCACCAACCTTGACACCTCAGCTCTCCGACTCCGAGGCTTCCAACCGCCACACTGCGTGTGCCGGTGATGTTGGTGCTTTGTGCCATGAGTTCCAACCAGGCCAGCGTCAGTTCGACAGTTTTTTAGGGTGCCGGGGAAACTGAGCCGAAGTGGCTTACTGGGCGAGCAAACTTTGTGGAGATCAGTTCAGGTGGACTGAGAAGGTGAAATTCTACTTTGATTGGCTAAAGCAAGGACGACTTGTCAATCTTTTGTCCATGTTTCCAGATGAGCAACTGCCCACATGTGCCTGGTCATGGGGTGTGCATGACACTGGGAACCGATAGGAGGGAAAAGCAGCATCGATACCGTGATAACCAATACCGTGGTAGCAGTTTTGGGGGAGTCATTTGAAACATCAGCTTTGCCTTAGCCTTAGCATTTGCGATCGGTACCATGTTGTCAGCTGCTCACATGGTGGGAATTGATCAGGGCGAATGCTTCTGTCCCATGACCCTTCTACCAACACAAGCTAGTTTGGTTGTATTGTGCATTGACAACTAGGGCTTTTATAGGAATGCGTGTCCAAGCTTTTGGTGGTTTGACTTGAAAGGCTCAAACATTCAAATACAGTCCTCTCCAGAAATGCTGCGCATAGCAATTTCCAACACCACTATCTATACAATCAATGAACACATCATCATGCTCACATGGGCAAGTGTCGCAGGTAAGTCAAGATGGTTTCTTCATGTCCATTCATTTGCTTGCTATCGCCCACTTGGCTGCTACCTCATGGCGTTCCGGGCCGATGTGCTGCCAAAGGTGCTGGCCTTTGTGCCGGCCGACCTGCAAATGACCTCATCGCTGAGGGTGGCCAGCCAAGACGCCAAAGAGCGTGTGGACACAAGATGGTGGACAGCGCAGGTGCAGTGTGTGAAAGCCTTTGTGTATCGACATGTGATTTTGTTTGCTGATGATCCAGAGATAGAGGATGAAGATGTGACCGTTGAAGAGCAGCAAGAAACATTTGCTCGGAATATTCTGCTCTGGATAAAGCCACTCCTGGTGAATCAGCCGTGGAGGTCTGAAGTCAATGATGAAGAAGTCCGTGATGATGCCACAGGTGAGATCACTCCGCAAGCAGCCTACAGGAATTTGAGAACAGCACTGACAGACTTGAGTCACTCTGAGTTGTTTTTAGACCGCTCCGCTTTTTACCGCATGCTTCCCGCAAAAGCGAGGAGAGCGGAGAGCATCCCATATTCTAGGTTCGTGTGGGGGGGGCTTATGGGCTGACAGGCATTCTGAAGCGGCATTCTCAATGAATGTCGTCAAGTTCATCAAGCCGCCGCACCTTTAAGGAGGGTGGCTTTCCAAACGCTCCCCCTCACCACCGCCACTTCGGGGGGAAGGAGAGTCTTCCAAGGTCAACGGGAAACACCTCGTTGGAGGATGGGTTTGTACGTGGTTCGCTGGAAAAGTATCCCGGGGCAAACAAAAGGTGTCACCAGCTTCCCTGTCAAAGGGAAATCCTGAAGTTGGGGGTTGGTGAACAGGTTCGTTTATCTCCTTGACATCCTGAAAGTGTTGTTTGAACTAAGAGGTCTTTTTTCTTCTTGATGCAGCTTTCACACCAAACCACCTGAGTAGCGATGCTTTCCACGCATATGTTTAATTCTATTTGTCCACCGGTTTTGACGAAGCATGAGTAGGCTAAGTAGCTAAGAACGATGAACTGGTTTCAGTTTCCTTGTGCCAGCATCTGGCACACTACCAATTTATAATATCTGCCAATGGTTAATCTGGAGAACCAACGTCTTTCCTGATAGCACACATTGTTCTGGATGGGTCATTGTGTACTCCAATCCGAACAGTTCTTCAGCTATGCAGACTTTCGATGGCAGAGACAGGTCCCCATTTGAGACGTTCCTTTGTTCGCTGCTTTCTAAGGTGAGAGAAGGAATGATGTGCTCCGAAACATTCGACAACAAGCACGTTTCATCGAGGGCCATCATTTGAGGCACAGCCACACTGCCAGGCAGGCCCTTCATACAATGGTTTCCCAGACCGATCGGAGGCAGATGGAAGCTGACATGGAGGACAACATTCCACCTGCGTTTGCCAACCTTGAGACCAGTGAGATGGAGATCAGAAGTGAAGATGCCAGGTCTGGATCCTTTGCCCACACTGAAATGACCAGAGAAGGAGTTCCCAGAGATGAACTCATCACCATTTGCAGCCGTCTCGGAATTTCGATTGAAGTTGCCCAGGAATTGCTCTCAACCATGGAACAGCGGGGGCTGCTGGCGTATCCGAGATTTGTCGACCCCTCAGAGGGCAGGTCGGAGGCTGCAGAGTCAGCAAGTTCCTCACAGGTCATGGAGCCTTTGATTGACCCCCGTTTGATGCAGCAAGGAATCGATGATGGCACGGTTCCGGACGCGCGTGATGCTCGGCTTGGAATCGTCTAACTACTCGTAGGTATGGTGTGTGTGTGTGGCATGATGAGATTGTAGGAGTTTCCCCATAAAAAAAACCCAAGAGGCCACAGATTTGCTCATAGCTGAAGCTGTTTTATATACATAATGATTACATAATAAGTGTCTTCAGGATCAGAAGGTCGGACCAGAAGTGCTGACCTTCCAAAGGTATATCCAAGGCGTGTTTGAAGAAGGGCCCTCCAAACCACTGGCACCACCCAAATGGGATGGACCAAAACACCTAAAGATCCAACACCACCAAAGCTGGTTGATTCTGCTTCCACACACACATGTCACATATCCCGAGAAATCCATCGGCCTATCACCTCACAGAGGTTATTCCAAGTGCCTGGAATGGATGTTTCTTTCTCACGTGAGAAACAAATCATTAGCCTTTTTCCAATGCACTCAACAACATCGCCGACCACGCCGAGGCCAAGGACGTCCCTCGGGAGGCGAAAATCCGAGAGCGGGACACCAATGAGCTCTTGCTTAGAGAGGGGAATGTTACCCATACAGAAGTTGACAGGTTTGAGAGGAATGGGGCACCACTGGAAGAACAAGCTCAAAGCCCTCTATGTCCTACTGCCACAGAGATAGAGTGTACGCGGATGATCCGTTCCTGGGCAGCTCTAGACGGACGCCAAGCAGTAGACAAGGGTGGCTTCACATATTTGCATTGGGCAGCTAGAAATGGATACGAGACTCTGGTGGAACAGTTGCTCCAGGCTGGTGACAAGGAAGCAGTAGACGAGAATGGCATGACCTGTTTGCATTGGGCAGCTCGACAAAGACACCAGAATGTGGTGGAACAGTTGCTCCAGGCTGGTGCTAACAAGGAAGCAGTAGACGAGAATGGCTGGACCTGTTTGCATTGGGCAGCTTGTAAGGACACCAGAATGTCGTGGAACAGTTGCTCCAAGCTGGTGCTGACAAGGACGCCGTAGACTATATTGGCCGGACCTGTTTGCATTTGGCAGCTGATGAAGGACACCAGAATGTGGTGGAACAGTTGCTCCAGGCTGGTGCTGACAAGGACGCCGTAGACT